CCAGGTGTCATTCATTGAATCTTAAAAATTTGACATTGAAAGCACCCACCTGGTCCATATCCTTTAAATGAAAAATGACTCATACACCGATCTGTGTAACAAGTTCCCTATACTATCCAGATCACCTTCCTCCAAGCCACACACATATGTCTTCTGTTCTTGTGGACATTTCCAAAGAAGGCAAGATAACATTTAGAAAACAGTTTCTTCCCTTTCCAGAGTTCCCAGATATAATAACAATGTCCAAAGAGCCTCTGTGGTCTCCTAGTTGATTAGGCATTCTGAGCCCTCTTAACTCCTCTGCCAGGCCTCCAGTGTTAAGTCTTTATGTTGCTGTGACAAAACACTTGGCTTAATCATCTTAAAAGAAGGAAAGGTTTAGCTCAAGTTTCAGAGGTGTCTGTTCATTTTTGCTTGGTCTTGCTGCTTTGTGCCTAGGCAGCACAGGACCTCGTGGCAAGTGCATGTGATAGAGAAGCCTCTTTACCTCATGGCAATTAGAAAGCACAGAAAGATTTAGAAGAAGGACCCTGAGTCCCAATATCCTCTTCAAGGCCACACCCCCAATAACCTAACTTCCTTCTACTAGGCTCTGCCTCCTAAAAGTTCTGCCACTTCCTGTTAGTATCACAGGCTGGGGAACAAGGCTATGGGAGACATTAAAAATCTAAATTATAGCAAGGGACATCCAGAGGATCTACCCCCACCCCCAACTCCCTTAGTTTCCATTCTCCTTGTGTTCAAAGCACGGATGCCCAAAATGCCACACTTCAACCACAGGCCACAGCCAACACAGAGTGCTAGGACTTGGGAAGCATGTGAAGGAGGGGGAAGGAAGCAAGTTCTGAGATCTGAGCCAAGTGGACACACACTGGAGACCTGGGGAGACGACCCAAGCAATGATCCCTCCAGCTTGGGGGCTTACCTGAGGTGGGTGCTGGGATTTGAACCCAGGTCTTCTACAAGAACATTCAGTGTTCTTAACCACTGAGCCATCTCTGCAGCCCGATTAATTAATTTTTATTTTATGTGTATGAGCCAGCCCCTTAGAAAGCCTGGTTTCCATGCTGAAATTTGTTTGCTTGGACAGCAGACCTGGCAGTTAATATTTCTTTTTCTGTATTTAGGAATTAATTTCTACTGAACTTAATCACCCCCCCCCCCTCTTCTTTTCTCTATTCCTTTCCCTTCTAATTTTCCACTTGGCTGGGAATTCTCCAGCAGTGAAAGTTCAGGCTTAGGGGAGGGCGGAGGTAACTGCTTCATTAGAGAGGATAATCTCATTGGAACCACTGGCTTGAATAATAACCCCTTGCAGGGGCCCAGGGCCTGTCTCCCTAGGGCTGTTAGAACCTCTGATCTAGGGCTGTGAGGGCCTGGTGCACAGGAAGTAGAGTGAGAAAGAATGAAAGAAGAACTCAGTAAGAAAGAACTTAACTCTGTGGCTGAGAGAGGTGAGTCTTTTGGGGGCCTGCTGGTCACCTGAAGGTCTGTATTTGGAACCAGAGTGTCTATAGGTATGGCAGATAAATACCTGAAAACCCAGTTTCATAGTAAATTCTCTGAGTCCACATAAGCACCAATTCCCCTACTGGGGCAATGGATAAAACAGGACCTTCTTTTTACCCCAGGAATGACCCTGTTGCAGAGTTGGGAGCCTTGCTTTCCTAGGTACTTGGAGCCCTTGGAAGGAGGTGACTCAGGGGCTCCTTCAGAATCAGAAATTAACCCTTTTCACATTTCCTGACTCTGGCCTGAGCTACTAGGAAACCATAGTCCTAGAAAACAAAAGGCCATTGCCTTGATGGACCCGTAAGACATCAGAAGCCATGCATCCTCCCCTTCTATTATCCCATCACATTTAAGGTCAATTGTCTGTGCTGTTGGACATTTGCAGCCTCTACCCTACTGAGCTCTGAAGGATGGTAGAAATGTCAAAATATCCCTGGCTCTGACCTTAAACTTAACTTTCCACTGAGATAGCTGAGCTCTCAGTACCCTTTGACAGCTATTAGGAAAACAAAGCTATAACCCACAGCAGCATTCACTCGCCTCTCCCTCCTGGCCTCTGGGTCTCCCTCCCTCTTCATTGTGAGGGAAACTACTACAACCTCCTCTTTCTTCTCCCTTTGATGTGCCCTAAGGACCAGTCTGCATCAGCTATAGTTTGGAGGCACTGAATCAGGAGGGCAGGGGAGAGATGGGATAACAACAGCACAAGCTAACACTTATTGAGGACTTTCTTTGAGTTATGAACTATTCTAAACGCTTCACTCACACAATCTCATTTAATCATTAGGGAAATCCTAGCTGGTTGGTACCATTTTGTCCCTAATTTATAGATGGAAAGCCCCAGTGACCAAGAGGTTAAATATTTGGCCTTGATGCTTACAACTATAAGCTATACACAGTTTTTCTATATTTGGGACTTTCCAGAGCCTTGGCAAGATAGAGCCCCATGGACATGAGAAACAGCAAATGATGTGTGTCAAACTTGCCCTAGGATTCCCCAGCCAACTACCTCCCCAAAGTCTGAAAAGACATAGAGCCCATCTGTTCTATCTAGTGGTTTCAGGTGATGTTTGGCCAGGAAACAGCTTCTTTTCTCCCCTGCTCTTCATAATTTAATCAAAGACATTTTTTCAGACCTACTGATTGCTCTTGGAAACAGGAACTTCAAAGTTGAGGAATCAGTGAATAATTGAAGCTCTACCAGCTCTCTGGGTCTGCTGCTAATGGCAGTAATAACACTATTAATAGCCATGTCAGTGCAGACGCTCTGGAAAAGTCCATAACATTAGCCTAATGGCTGAAGGTAATGGAGTCCTCACCGAGGAGTTGGCCTGGTAAATTAACTTCCAGGACTTGGAGGCAGACGCTCTTGTTGCCAGTTGTCTGCTGGAGCAGCCAGAGAGTGCTACGGGGGCCAGCAGATGCACGTCTGACCTTTTCTTCCTGGCTTAGAGCCTCTTGAATTCATCTCAGGGAAATTCGTTTTGTCCAACAGTAGCAGTGGTTGTCAGGATGCTTCCCAGTAAACCCAGTTTAAAGGATGAAGAGGAAATGTTTAAAGAACCCTAAGGAAATAACGGAAGCATCAAGATGGCGAAGAACATGGCTTTGGTCTGTAAAGGGATCTGTTCCTCACTTCTTAGTCTAGAAGTTTTCAGGAGCTGAGCAGAGTTGTCAAGAACAGAGGCTATGAGTTTATCCGGGTTTCTATTGACTCAGATTAGCTGCTAACCTGGGTGAACAAGTGACCCACCCATCTTCTTCTATAGTTTTCTGAACTCTAAGATGGATTTGTCACAGGAAACTTCAATGGCATAAAATGTAAAGCAGTTATCACAATGCCCAGCAAGCACTCAGTAACTAGTGGCCATGATTGCATGATGCAGAGTTGGATTGACTTTTGTGCCACACATCCAACTTTCTGTAAGGTCTTCGTTCGTCCCAGTCTCCCTCTCTTCCTCCTCTTCACAGGGGTAGCTTTAGGCTGTCACCTTTAGTCATTTCCCCTTTGCTGATTAAAATCTCATCTCCGACTCTCCACACTGAAGCCATTCCTCTAGCTGTGGCTAAAGGTATCTTCTTTCCCTGTGACTGGGAGGACAGGACCACAGTTTTCCTCTGAGTCTAAGACTTAACCCGTGGGCCACCCAGATTATCCTGGTACCTCCCTCTCCTTCTCTCCTTGCCCTATGCCGTACCTGTCTGCCTCTCCGGACAGAAGTTCCCTTCCCATATCCCCTCCCCATGCTGCTTTCCATCCCCAGCTACTGCTTCCTGTGCTCTGTGGGTTTGCAGGCATCCCTCATCAGTTCCCCTACATGTCCTTCTCTCTGACATGTCCTTCTCTGGTTCCCAAAAGGGACCAGCAACTTGGGAGTGATATCCTTGAAGTCTTAACTTATCTCAACTTGTCCCTGTGATCATCCCACTTGCCTTCACTCCACAGCAGAACCAGTGTTCCAGAGTTTCTAAGTCCTGGCTTCTAGGCATAGCACTTCCTTCTTAAGGCTTATTTGACTTGAACTAAGTACTGTTCCCTGACCTTTGGACACTTCTATGCAGTGAATTTGGGGATGTGTGTGTTTGGGCATGGCCCCGGTTTTTTGTGGGCATCTTCCTCAAGCCCTCTTCAGTGAAGACTGTTAAAAGCCAAGGTCACACTGGATGGGGTACATATGTGACTCAGTACACTTTGTACAACACATGGCATTAAACAATGACAGCAAACGTGCAGTTCTCTGGTGCCACAGGGCTGAGATTCCAATGCTGTTAGCTGCTCCCTCTGCCCCTTTGATCCTCTCACTGTTGCCTATCTGTATTTATCTTCATTACTAGGACATATGCAGGGGATTCCAAAAGAAATCAGACAGTGTTTCTTCTTTTGAGAAGGTCACACTTGGTAGGAGAAGGCCACACTTAGCCCAATAATCATCATGCAACCTAAAAAGTTTTAGACGGGGTGAATTGAGAGGGTGCTATGGGGCAATCAGGAGGAAACTTGTAACTGCCCAGGGTGAGGAAGAGGGAGTGCAGATGTGTAAGAGTTAAACCATGTCTGTAATTCTAGATAGAGTTGGACAGGTAGAAACCTATGGAAGCCCAGACAGAAGAGCTGGCTGTACAAAGGTGATATAATACATATAATGTAGTATACATATCTACAGGAAGAAATAAGGTTTGCTGAAGGAGGAGCAGAGGGTGCAGGGGCTAAGGATGAATGGGAAGTAAACTAGATGGGTCTGTGATTTGTTTTGTGACTTTGGAGAGAATGAAGGGACTGTAGAAGGACTCTTGTGTTTCTACATTTGATAAATGTTTATAGGAATGACTAACTTTTCCAAACTTGGACATAATGAAACAGGACCAAGTTTGAAGAAAGAAATAAAATGATCAGTTCTGAGTGTGTTGGGTTTAGATAGTCCCTGAGAGGTTCTGGAAATGCCTGTCCCTTTCTGAACCAAGTGATCGTCATTAAATGTCATTCTCAGGTGTACCCGGAAGGAACGGTGTGAACGCTCCAGGGAAGCCCGCAGGTTTGCTTCAGAGATGAAGCAGTGTGTTCGGCTGACAGTCCATCCCAACAACATCTCCGTCTCTCAGTACAACGTGCTGGTAAGGGCTGGAGGATCAGAATCCAGGGACGAACTCTCCCCAACAAAAGCACTAAGGCCCCCTCAGGAGGGGTGGGTCAAGCCCAGACATTTAGGGTGGAGATGTTGGTAAATAAGTGTCCAATATTCCTTCCCTTCTGGGAAGCCAAGAAGGGAAGGAATATTGGAGAAAAGACTCTATTCCTAAGGAAAGCACCAAAGATGACCAAGAAATGCAAATTAGGTTGAGCAAGGTGGTGCATTCTTTTAATCCCAACACTCGAAAGGTGGAGGCAGGCAGATCTCTGTGAGTTTGAGGCCATCCTTGTCTATATAGTGAATTCCAGGCTAACCAGAGATATGAGACTCTGTCTCAAAAAAATCAAGTTAAAGCAATCCTGAAATTCCATCTCATGCCAGTCAAAGGGGCAATCATTAAGAAAACAAATAACAACAAATACTGGAGATGATACAGAGAAAAAGGAACACTTACGGACTGCTGGTGGAAATGTGAAGTAGTCCATTATGGAAATTAGTTTGGTGATTCCTCAAAAACCTAAAAGTTATACCCAGGTATAATATTCATTCCTGGGTATTTACCTGAAAGACTCTTAAGCCAACACACCACCACTCATAATAGCTAAATTGTAGGATTAACCTAACTGTCAACAGAGGAATGGATAAAGAAAATGTGTTTGATGTACACAAAGGGATTTTTTTCATTCATAAAGAAGAATAAAGCCATATCATTTGTGGGAAAAAAGATGCAACAAAATAATCATATTAACCAAATTAAGTCAGTCTCAGAAAGACAAATATCACGTTTTCTCCCATTTGTGGGTCCCTGATCTTATAGACACATAAAATCACATGGGTTCCTGTGACATGAAAGTAAAAACAAAACTGTCAAGGGGAAAAATGGGACTATCAGGAGCTGGGGCTGATGAGAAAGGTGGCATCCTGAAGCACAGGGGTAGGGGTATGCTCAAAGTGCATTGTCTAATTGCATGAAGATAGCCTTCTATTACGAGGCATTAATAAAAAGAGTAATATTTCATCATAATCCAAAATATGCAATGAGTATACCTAAGGAACCATTATCCAATCTGAGGTAAATTATTGTGTCAATAAATATGGAATGTTTAAAAAAAAACAGCTGGCAATGAGTGTTGGGAATGATCTCTGTCTATAAAAGGAGATGCATGTAGGGAATGGGATACAGACGGCTCCCAAATTCTAGCACTGGGTACTTTGGTAATGAGTATTCCCATTTTACCAAATCAAAGACTGTTCCATCAATGATTCCTATCCAGGGCAGACTTCTTTTAGCACACAGATCCCCTAAGCTTTCCTATTTCCTGTGGCTAGATCCACTCAGCCTCTAATGGCCTTTCTTTGGTCTCTGTCCCTTTATATCTCACCACATCCTTTGTATCACTTTGGTCTATATTCATATCACCTGTCTTCCATCTGTCTCTCACTCTTCCTCTCCCCTTTATGCCTTCTTTTCCTATCTCTGCCACCCTCCCCCTACTGGGCTGTTCACAGCTGGTCCTGGAGACATATAATGTCCCGGAGCTGTCAGCAGGTGTCAACTGTACCTTTGAGGATCTGTCAGAGATGGATGGGCTGGTAATAGGCAATCAGATCCAGTGCTACTCCCCTGCAGCCACGGAAGTACCCCGGATTATCACAGAAAATGGTAAGTGGTCCCAGGGGGCAAAGTTGGGTGGTGAGCCCCTCATCATCCTCCACAGGACAACTCATGACAGATATAGGAGACTGAGGGAGCCTACAGGCAGGAGTGAGTCAGAGGAAGGGGGTTGATGGCTATGTTACTGGAAAAAGGGTAGTAGTGAAGGTTTCCTCTTTGGCCCTTGGAATTGGCTGGTAACAGCCCTTCTGTCTCAGCCCTAGCTTAGTATCCAAACTTTCACTTCATCCAAAGTGAGAAGAGGCTACAGAGACAGGAGGAAGAGACCAGACCAGGGCAGTAGTAGTGCATGCAGGTGGAGTTCATCCAGTTTGGCTGGCCTGATGGGACAGTGGAAGAAGAAAACATCTCCTCAGGAGCAGGGAGAGGATGGCACAGGTTCTCTGACTCCATAGCCCTTTGCTCACACAGTCAACAGATGGGTCTCTGATTCTATACCACTACCTCTCCACCCTCTCCCACACAGCTGCCTGTTGCTTGTGGCCAGCTATACTGGGAAGGATAGGAGTAGACCCAGGCTCAACACCTGGCAAGGGACAGGAGAGCCTGGCAGATTGATCCATGTTGTCCCTCCCATTTGGGCTTGTCACATTTGTACGGAGCTGATTGATTAATGAGACTCTTGGGGAAGGCAGAAAACAAGGCTGGAAAGGGGTCCAGGGTCAAGGTTGTGAATTAAACATGGGCTCCATTGCCGCTTTGGTGCCAATTGAGGATTCCAGTATCTCTCACCCCGATGGAACCAAGTCCCCCAGAGAAGGTGGTATCAGGACCAGGTCTCTATTCAGAGATGGAAATGAGCAAGCATTTGCACACACACATGCACACAAAGCCACTGTGTCATTGGTAGCAGCATCACAGAGAAATTTCTTTTTTGTGGTTCTACCTGGCAGCTAATCACTGTTTGTGATTATAATTCTGTGAGACTTGCAGGCAGGTGAGGACATTTGAATACACACACATGTGCACATACAGAGAGAGGAGAGGAGAGAAGAGGGGAGAGAGAGAGAGAGAGAGAGAGAGAAAGGAGGTAATAAATAAAATTGTTTTTAAAATGAGTCTGGAGAGATGGCTCAGAACTAGCTGCTCTTGAAGAGGACCTGGGTTTGATTCCCAACACCCACATGGCAGCTAACCACCATTCATAACTCCAGTTCCAGGGGAATCTAAAGACCTCTTCTGACCTCTGTGGACATTGTATGACATGGGTGCCCTTACACACAGGTAGGGTAGGCACTACACTCATACACACAACATAAAAGTAATAAAATAAAAAAGAGAGGTGGGGAGAGAGAACTGGGAGATCTAGCAATAAAGAAGATTAAACTATAATACCCCCCATCCCCCCTACAGCTTTTGGGGGGTCACCCTGGGATTGGACCTTGCTGAATCAGAGGCCTGTGCAAGCTAATAGAACTCTAGGAGAGCAGACTCTCTTTCCCAAGATGCATTTCTGCTAATGGGCCTCTGGCTTGGGTTTTGGTCTTCCCCTAACTCATTGGTGGGCTCTGCCTTGTAGGGGACCACCATGTCGTACAGCTGCAACTCAAGTCAAAGGAGACAGGAATGACCTTTGCCAGCACCAGCTTTGTGTTTTACAACTGTAGTGTCCATAACTCGTAAGTGCCCTGATTTCACTCAACTTTCTGTTCCTGTGGTCAAGGTTCATGCAGAGATCAGAAGATCCTACTACTATTTCATGTAATTGTCATATGAAGTCTCCTAAGGAGACCTCCTTAATCTTAGAAGACAGGCTCCTCTGTGGTACTCATAAGGTTAATGGAAAAAAAGACTATAAAGAGACCAGAGTGAGCACCTGTGGTGTAGGCTCTGCAAATCCCTGGCTTATGTATCTTCTCTATCATAAATCTTCTAACATGATTCCCTTCTCACCATCTGTGGGTGTGATGCATCTCACCTGAAGAACAGCAACTTACACCTGCTCAGAGGAGGGACCGGAGGAGGGAGAGAAACCTCTACATGCGTCCAGGGGAGAGTAGTTGGTCTAGCAAGTCAGCTGAAAGGCCCACTCTCCACAGTCTCTGCAGGCTGGGTCAGGACTCAGGTCAGTGAGAATGAGAGGAAGGCCAAAAGATACAGGGTAGCTGAACTACTAAGGAGGCATAGAAGCCTGGTTCTGGCTTTGTTTGACTTCAGCACCTTTCCCCCAGTGGCAGGCATGGAGAATAGATTAGCTAGGGAAGCTAACTATTCTGTGCTCTAGGGACCTGGGAGTACTGCTTCTAAGGCTGACACCCAAATATTTAGGAACTGACATGTGTTAGTTACTTTCTTAATCACTGTGACAGACTGCTTGGTGGAAGCAACCTACAAGAGGAAAGGTTTACTCCAGCTCATGGATTACAGTGTTCAATCCCACGTGGCAGGGAAACCATGGTGGTTGGAGCAGCTTGATCTGTAGCAGTGAGAGCTTGCGGCAGGGCTTCTCACATTTTGGCAGATCAGGAAGCAGAATACTTGGGCCAGAACCAGAAGCAGATATCACCTTCGTGGCTTACCCCTAAAGATTCACTTCCACTAGCTAGACCACAGTCCCAAAGGTTCTGTAAGTTCCCAAAATAGCACCATTAACCAGGGTCCAAGTGTTTAAGCAAAGGAGACTGTGGAAGGCATTTCACATTGGAACAACAGCATGACATCCCAGGAGCACCGTTCTATCAGAGCAGTCCTTGATGGGGACACTCTACTGGTTGCCATCTCTATGTAGCAACACTGCCTCTCCCACAGGATGACTGTAAGAAATAAAGGAATTATTACAGGGCATCATTTAGAACCCAATGTGGGGGCTGTAGAGATGGCTCAGCAGTTAAGTGCACTGGGTGCTTTTGCAGAGGACCCAGGTTCAAATCCCAGCACCCACATGGCATCTAACAACTGTCCATAACTCCAGTTCCTGTGAATCTAACACCCTCTTCTGTCCTCTGTGGATATTGCATGACATGGATGCACTTATATACATTCAGGCATAACATTCAGACACATAAAATAAAAATTAATTAATTAAAAGTTAATTAAGTTAGAACCCAACGTGGTTCATTGTTTGAGACTATTCATGATTTTTGCTATTATTATATTATTATTCCCTCTGTAAAATGATGAGGTTGAATCAGATTGTAGAGGTACAAATATTTCTTTTATTTTCACCATAGAAACTGAAATTAGGTGTGGAAGCCCGACATAAAAAGCAGATGGAAGAAGGAGCTATATGATGGAGGGCTATGAGGCCAGGAACTCCTCTGTCTGCACGACTCTTCACATATTCTCTAAAGGAGCTCCATGGAGCCTCCAGGGTTCCATAGAGGATAGTTTGAAACCACGTGGCCAAACCTCCAAAATCTCTGCTTGTGTGAACATGCTGCTCTGTTCCCTCTCTGTGCAGTGTAGGTAGCTGACACAATAATGACATTTGGGACTCTAATCTGGTGAAATTTTCAAGCATGTCTAGGGTATCTGTGAGTCTGGAACTGAGATCCCTTTGGGAACTCTAGGAGGGAAGTATCCATCCTTCCTGGCCAAAACCCAGTTGCTTCAATGCTGGGATTCTCTTCTCATTTCTGGCTATGGACCTGCCAGTGACCTCACCTCTTGGTAGCATATTTCTCCCCTCCCCACTCTTGCCCCCTAGGAAAGCAGAGATGGTAATGGAATCAGGTGTAAAGTTTCTAGCCCATCCAGAGTGCTACTCCCCAAATACAGAGGATTCAGAAATTAAACTCTAGCACTCAGCCCCTGCCCTCCAGAGGTCTGTATTTAGTGGGCTGATGGAAAAGCTATATAAGACCAGGAGTGTCCCAGAACAGAGATTCATGGAACAATGGCCCAGAGTGATCCAAACTCTCCTTTCCTCAAGGAGTGGGTCAAGTGAAGGAGAAGAGAGGTCTTCTGCATGGTAGAACAGCTTGTGGGGAACATGTGACCTATACATGGTGGTAACACCAAATTCTTGGAGACAGTGGCCTGGGACAGCAGGCAGGGCTAAGCCTGTGTGGCAAGGCATTTGAGCTTGTGACAACAGGGAAACATGTTGGGTTTTTAGGCAACAAAGAACCCTTATTATAAAGTTGCCTTTGTTTCCTGGTGGTAAGGAGTAGGACCAGGGTTGGCAACTGTGGTGGAATGCATACTAGAGAGACAGCAACCTCAGTAGCTTCCACTGTCATCAGAGCACACATGTGGTCCTTGACAGTAAGACTCAGGCAATTTGAATTAAAACCTGATTTTTTATTTGTCCCAGTTCTTATAGACTTTGGACCTTATTGTTCTCCTCTTCAGCAAAGGACCATGTCAGCCTGTGGAGGTAGAGGAGACTCACTAGACTTTGAAGGACCCAGGTTCCAGCTCTCAGTGAGTTTGTTCCTTGAGGTCATGAGCAGAAGCATGGATCTGTATAAGATCTGCCTTTGTTCAGCATTTGAGGGTGCTTTCCCTTAATAACAAATGTTCTGCTAAATCCTAAAGATGTTGGTCTGGAGCTCTTCCAGTTCTAAGATGTATGACTTTTTCCTTCTATGCCCAGATGTCTATCCTGCGTGGAAAGTCCATACCGCTGCCACTGGTGTAAATACCGGCATGTCTGCACCCATGACCCCAAGACGTGCTCCTTCCAAGAAGGCCGAGTGAAGCTACCTGAGGTAGGTTCCCAACAGCAAGGTGGTGAGAGCTGCCACTTGTTATCATGGAACATACAGGAAGGCCTTCTCTTGAGAAGAGCAACCAGTGGGAAATCCCTGGGACCTCTTCCTTCCTCCCCAACCCTGACTCTTCGGGAGCACTGCATGAAAGCAGTGGACAAGCCAAGCTCCTTGCTGGGGCCATGGGCTCTGGGTCAGCCCTGGAGGTTACATACAGAGGTTTTCTAGGTCGTTCTGGCCAAGAGGCTGCTCCACCTGCTAGGTAAGTTCTAGAACAATTCCAGAGAGATGAAGAATGTATCTAAGAAAACTGTACGTCCATGAAGTAGTAGAGTACAAGGATTGTACTTGGAACACTGACTAGGAAAGAACTGAGACCAAACAAGACAATTAAACAAGAGGATGATCAGAGTATGAATGAAGAATGAGCCTCCTCTCAGCCAGAGTAGTGACTGTCAAAGTGAAATTCCCACACCCGCAGAGGCCATGGCACCCGAGGCTTGAGACACCGTCTGTCTGAGAAACTTGGGAGTGGGGCTCAGCCTTCTTTAAACATGGTCTCATGCTTCTCAGACTCACCTCAAATTTGCTATAGCTAAGGATGGTCTGGAGATCCTGATCTTCCTGCCTCTACTTCTTGAATGCTGGCTTGACAAGATGTATGCCACCATGCTTCATTTAAGCAGTGCTGGGGATTGAACCCAGGGCTTTGTGTATGCTAGGCAATACTCTACCAGAGATTTTAATGCTGGGACTAGGCTAAAAAATCCCCAAGGTGAAGGTGGGCTCTGTGCTCCAGGCTAAGATATCTTTCTCTTATGTCCTAATTGTTATTCTTTTCCTTAAAAACACCTTATCACCAAAATAAAAATATTTTCCCCTATGCTGTTGCTTCTATTAGAATGTCAGTTTGTGGGCAAAGACCTCAAAGTTAGCAGACATTAAGCTTACTTTGGAAAAATATGTTCTCTGAATGTGTGGTGCTTCTCACAAGCTTGTGTGACTCCCACTGCTGGACCAATTGGTCTGAATAAAGCACATGCATTAGAAGGTTATTACTAGGAACACAAAGAGATAACAAACATAAGTATGAATATCAATGGATGTAGCTTTGGCTGGATTCCACTGAATTCTCCAGGAATATCGTATATCGTATAGCTTCTCTACCTGGGCACAGATGCAGTCAGTCTGACCTTCACCCTCTCAGCCAGTACTGGGTGAGGACACACACATACAAACACGAGAGAGAGAGAGAGAGAGAGAGAGAGAGAGAGAGAGAGAGAGTCTTAGATGTACCTTCTAGCCTCCTTCACACATGTATACAGGTACATAACCATGTGGCAAGCCATACAGCCAGGACAATGTGAGAACAGGGAACTGTCCTGATGCAAAAACATATTAAGGGATAAATAGGACATTGGGAGAAGAACAGAAGCATCCAGCACTGCCCTCACCTACCCGGATGTGGATCCCAAGTCTGGCCAGACCCCAGAGGCAGAAGGGAAAAGATAGGTAAACAATCCACCTCACGCCTGTTGCGTAGGGTTCCCTACCACCAGGGACCATGACTGAACTGACTAGCAACCAGAAATCCCAAGGTCAAATTCTATTTTGCCAGGCACTGATGGTAGAGCAGATGTACTGGATGGGAATCAGCAGAATGACTTGTTTTAGAGTTAAGGGACAGTGAGTAGTGAGAGCACAGAGGGAGAGAGTGACCCCAACTGAATGAAGGGCAAGGGAATAACCAAGAGAGCAAAAAGCAAAACTCTGAAAACCTCTGTCTAGACAATCAAACAACCACAGGCCTTGGAAATCCTCTTCTCCTTCATAGCTCAGTTATTCTTTAATTTTTTTTTTATTTGGGTCTCTCCACACATAAAACCACTGCTTGATACATCAATCTAGAAGCCACTTTGTATCACTTCTAGAAAGTTCGTGGCAGGCTTCAAGTGGAAAGAAGAGTTTGTGGAAGACCCCAACACAGCACCCTCTCCCTCTGCCTTGAGGCCTGGCTGGTAGGAAGTAGCTGCTCCAGTTATTATCAGGAAAAGGAAGTCATGAAAGTGCTCACATCTTCCCTTTAAATATCCTTGTGAGTCTTCTGTGTGTCAGTTCTCATCTTTTCTCTAATGAGGAGCTGGATGGGAAGGTAATAGGAGGGACATGATCAGACAACCAGTGGGCCCATTTTGGCATGAAGAGCTGGCAGAAGGCTGTGCAGTCTCATCTACTCAGCTGGACCTTTTTCTTAGAGACAGGAACAGAAGGACAGGTTCACCCTACAGGGGTTTCAAGACCCCAGGAAGCATCCATCTAAAATCTACAAGGAACCTGACAGAAGTCAGACAAAGCAGCTTTCAGGGTTCCTTCAGCTCTCCACACTGGCGTGACTGGCCTAGGATTCAGGCCAAGATTAAGGAAAGCACTAACAGTCTCGTGGATTGCAATCCCCCACCTCCACCTCCACCCCCACCCCCTCCGCCATTTCCTTACCTTGAAGGAAGATTACAATTTCTGCTCTATCTTCCTTTCTTGCTTGCTTGCTTCTCTTGTTGCAAGTTTCTTTCTTTTAAACACATAAAAGGAACAGCAAAAAAGAAAGAAGGAAGGAAAGAACCAAAAGAACAAAATGAGAACCCACAAGTTTCCCAGAATAATGGGGGGTGGGGATTTCTACGAAAGATGATGCCTTCAAGTATGCAGGCCCCACTGATACTTGGCTTTGTCAGCACCTTCTGGGGACCCATAGGCTCCACAGCTTCTCCAAGGATCCTGAGAGAGGAGCAGACCTTGAGAAATATGGCTAGCATTGAGACAGATCTGCCTAATGCCACAGCCCTTCAATTCTTTCCATTTTCCACGAGCCATGCAAAGTAACTTGGCAGGCCACAGCAGTGAGAAGCTCCAGTTTACCTTGGAATCTTCTAGGTCTCCCTATCACAATGTCATATAAAATGAATCTTGCCTTATTTTTATCTTGGACTTTTACTTATTCTAATGGAAAGAAGTTCTGAGGGTATGTTTCTGGTGCAAGCTTGGGGGCTACATTCTACCCAACTGAATGTCGGGGCCGTTTTGAATGTGAGCATAGAAGAAAAGGGTGACCATTACCTCATATGGTTGCTGTGGAAACATCTTCCTGGAAGATGCACCAAAGGGGAAATAGGTATATAAACATTTGTGAACTGTTGCGGTCAGTGAGAGGCCAGGGTCTTTAAAACTCAAAACAGAGTCCCCGCCTCCTAATGGAAGTATAGCCTTCTTTTACATCCTTAGCCTTTCTTGTCATTGTTGTTTGTTTCTGGACAAAAGCTATAGCAGGAATAAGTGATAAGAAGGGAAACATGCAAAAGAAAAAAGATTTTGTGGAAGCCCACAGACACAAGTATCTTTACTATGAGGGAAGACATTATTTGCAGGATAGTAGTCTAAACCTTTGCCTTTGTGTTGATCAACTTTCTACTAATAATAATGAATACTTAAGGGATTGGAGAGAGGGCTTGGTGGTTAAGAGCACTGGCTGCTCTTGCAGAGGACCCAGGTTTGATTCCCAGCACCCACATGGTGGCTAACAATTGTTGGCAACTCCAGTTCCAGGGGGCCTGACACCCTCTTCTGACCACTACAGCATTACATGACACAGGCACATTTACACACATGCAGGTAATACACTCATACACATAAAATAAAAATAATAAATAAAAACAAATTTTAAAAATGAATACCTGGGATAAATCAAGTTAAAAAGAGGGACAGTTTACTTTGTCCCATAGTTTTGGAGGTTTCAGTCTGTGGATTTGGAACATGTAGTGAAGCGGTTCCTCATAGAAAAGAGCACAAAAGCAAGTGCACCGTTTACCTGAGGATGGCCAAAAACTTAGAGAGAGAGAGAGAGAGAGAGAGAGCCCATAATCAAGGGAGCACCCCAATAACCTAAGACTTGCCAGTAGACTCCACTTCTTAAACTTCCCACCAACATCTCCCAATAGCACCACACTGGGAAATAAGCCTTGAAAACATGGGCTTTAGCAAGGCATTCCAGACCCAAACTATGACAGCTGTGATGTAAGGGTTCATCTTTCATTGCCCTGAGTATTCCCTGTGTTCAAGCTGCTGAGTATAGAAGACCTTTTCAGATCTGTATTTTGAGAGCCTTGAAATGAGGCCATTGGTTTACATGACCTTTACGTTTCAGTAATTGTAAGTAGAAACAAGCTGAAACGCACATAAGGCGAGTATGCTGTCAGTGTTCTTGTAAGGCGCGTGTCCTTCTTACAGGGCTCATGTGTAGGGTGCATGTCCAGTCAAGGTTTTGCGTGCTGAGCTGTATCTGACTGGATGACTCATACCCAGTCCCAGTCCCTGAAGCTCCTCTAGACATCCAGGCCAAGACCCTCTTAGAGTGTTGATGAGACCCAGGCTGCAGTGATTCTTCTAGAAATAAAGTTCTCATTATCCCTTACCTGGCAAGTGTGGTATAGAAACAGGATCCTTTTGTTTAGCCAAGATTGAGGCGGCCAGGTGGCTTTTCATCTGTCCAACACCATCTTATATTCCTGGAATGCTTTCATCTTGCCTCTTCCAGTTTCAACACTGGCTTTGTAGGCTATCACTAGGGGTGTTGAATTACTTTTTTTTTTTTTTCTTAAAGAGCACGGTCAGACAAAGTTATTGGTCTGGAATGGAAAACTGTTAGATCATTGTTATTGTGATATGAACAGCAAGTATTCAGGCATAATTACCATTATTAGAAATAGAATGCCCAATAACATATGTCGTTTATAGTAACTATATTCCAGTTACAAGAAATGATTTTGTTTCAACTAATGATGGCATTGTGATAACAACTTGGACCCTCAGATCAGCTGCCAGAGCCTGGGCAGAAAACAGAAAAGGAGAGGAGAAGGGAGACGAGATGCAACCACACTGGGGTTGCAGCGATACCCTGCTCTCAATCTTTTTCTCCCAGTGTCCGCCAAGGCTTGCTGCCATCCCCT